CTTATTCCCTTTTACTTGAATCACTGTGAGGTTGATTTGAATTTGAACACAATTAAACAGATGTCCCCTAGTTGCAGGTTTTCAACATTTGAAGTCTTAACAATAACAATTAAAAAAATAATTTTGAGTTACAGTGACAGATTAAAGACCAATGATGCTTAGACAGATATCACTGAAGTGCAGTGACAGAGAAATAATCAGAGTAACGAGTGAGCAATAACTCCGTAACTTCGTTTGAATACCTCCTTGCTGCTCTGAAAGCCAAAGATGCTGTATGTATGTGCTGGCTTGTGTGTGTGTGCAAATGTAAACAGTAGTCCCTTGCCGACACAGCACTCCTTCAGGAACTTGGGATTGTGTGTGTGTGTGTGTGTGTGTGTGTGTGTGTGTGTGTGTGTGTATGTGTCCAGGCCTCTGCTCCTTACAGATACGCTTCCTTTCAGGAAGACTGAAGAAATAAGCAGAAAAGACCTTGGACTGTGTGTGTATGTTTCTGTGTGCCTGCGTGTATGTGCGTGAATGTGTGCATGCGCAGACAGACAGACAGACTGCTCAGCTCCAAAAAGCAACTTCTCTAAATGTATGTCTTTCTCGCAGACTCACTTTGTCATGTTTAGCTGTAGAGTCCTCATTGGAGGGAGGCTGTACCTGTCAGACTGCACCACCTATAGGTACAAAAGGTATTATCAGGAACAGTAATGACCCTTGCTTTACAGTACTTTTACATGTACACAAACAAAAGCCACAAGCTAGTACCTGCTGTGTGTTTGTGTCTTCAGTGACACACAAATACAGCCAGGATGTTTAATGAGGAATCTTTTACATACATTTAAGAACGTGTCTTAAAACGTGTTTTGGCATCATGGTGTATTTCCAGTGTTTAATTGCTTGCATTGTTTGTTGTGTGTGTGTGTGCGGAACAATTCTCTTATACCAATCTGTGGTGTGCAGTGCACTAATGAATGAGCTCCCTTAGAACATAGGCTGGATAACACCAAAAGAAGTATCAGGTAACCAACATTTAACAAATTGAAAATTGAATTATTATTATTTTAAAATGAAACCACAATGGTTTGCATGACAAAGTACAGTAGTATATTCCCTGATTGATGTGTTTCTGTACATTGTTTTTCTATTCTCCCTCCTATAGATTACAACTTAACATACAGCTGACTCATATCATCTATAATGAGTATCAGATTGAGGACAATAAGGCATTCAATACAAATATTAGTATGCAAAACTCAAGCTACAGTTGTATTAGTTTTTTCCATACTTTTTGCATTTCAATACCTTTGTTCGTGTTGTTTAAAATCTGGGGTTTTTTTTGCAGTACAGTCAGTTGTCCACTTGTGTCATCTGTGAAGATCAAAGGTATCAAGGCTTGAGTTTGCAAACAACAGTTCCTCTTTTTCGAACACATTTCAGTTCCAATATTTTAGTCAAATATCATCACCAACTCAAGAGAAAGCAATTCTTAAAATAAAGTATTTTGAAAACAAAAAAGTATTTTTGACTGTAAGGAAAGTAGCACACTTGTTTTTACCTTTTGGCTCTGCTTTCAGCCATGCATTGTCCCCCTGTTTGTTGGCAGTCAGCTCTATTGGTCCTTGGCCTCACTGAACTGAAAGTAAAATAACCAAGAACACACTCGGACATGCACACACTTGGACACACACACACAAAACCCAGATGAGAGGAGGGGATGTACAGTACTGTTTGTGTTCTTCACAGTTATTAATGTTCTCAAGGTACTTAAGTCCACTTTGCACAATATTTTTATACAAATCACATTAAGAAGATTATGTGCATGTTTTTGCACAAATAGAATAGTTTTCCCAGTGAATTTTGTTTGGCTGAAATTATGCCGGCAGCCACTTTGAACTTCTGGGAGTTGTCCGTTCTGAGGGGGGAACCACTCAGTAATGAGGAAACATTTGACCACAGCTCACCACAGACACTTCCTGTCATGCAAGAGCTCAAATACACAAATAAATTATGATCTGTAAACAGATGCATGGTGGATCCTTAAAGAGGGGTAGCAGGGACCAATTACTTCTGAGACTAAACTGATATCAACTTTAGGAGCAGACTCCTCGCAGTGACTGTCATGTAATCAGCCCACTGCTGTCATCTGCAGGATAAAAAAAGAAATGACAAAGGAAAATAGAGAGCTGTCAACCGGATACCTAAGCAAGCAGACCAGAGTGTAAAACTAAAATGACAGCAGTGACCCAAACACAGAAGTTTCTTATGTAAAAAAAAAATAAAGAAACTAGACTAGAGATAACCAAACCTTTCTTGACTGAGACCAAATATGTTGTTGCACCTTCGCCTGCAATGTGGTAAAATAAGTCGTTGAAATATGCTTTGCTAAATTGCTAAAGTAAACTACGTCTGCTGTACAAGTCAATCAGTGGATTTTGCCTACATTTTGACCTGGATACTTTTTGACTTATTTGCTTGTAAAGATGACTCAAATGATCAGCTCTTAAGAACATTTAATGTGACAACTGATCCTTTGAGCGTCTCACAGGTCATGAACTCATTAGAATCTAATTGATCTTTTAGGACAAAAGTTTCAGGATGCAAACCATATAGTTTCTGCCATGATGGAAAAGAACATCTATTGTTTTCTTACATCAAATCTGAATATCTAAGCAAATCAGTCTCCAACTCCCTCTCTTTGTCTCTTCTCTCCGAGTGCCTCCATGTCTTGAAGCCAAAGCAGCTTGATCAATGGTATTGATGAGTAAATGCTAATAGCAGATGCAAATAGGCCCAGTATGACTAATAGACCAAGGGGACCATTGATCTGCAAAGTTAGCATCTAATGCTAGAACAGCTGACTCAACAACATAGTTGGACCTAAAAGTGCCACCCTTGCTCTGTGTGTGTGTGTGTGTGTGTGTGTGTGTGTGTGTGTGTGTGTGTGTGTGTGTGTGTGTGTGTGTGTGTGTGTGTGTGTGTGTGTGTGTGTAGTATACTGTGACAGTATACTAAATTAGTCACTGTAAGAATGCATTCCTCTCCAGGCCAAGGGACATTAGGATGTGAAAGACTTCACAGTAAAAATGAAAAATGAATACAACAAGGAACACATACTCGTGTTTTCTGCCATCAACCAACAATAAACTTATGTAGATAAGCTTTTAATATTTACGATATCAGCCTTTACCTCCAACTGCAGGAGTTCCTGATTGTTTGCTGTTTACAGATCTAAACATCATCTGAAATAACAAAATGTCCTCAATGTCAACATCTATACTTGTAATTGTTTCGTTTAAATAACATTCAGTTACTGAAATGGGCCAAGCGACTGAAATCATTCAGCCAGAAGTGTGCATCGTAATAAACATTGTTTAAACAGTAGGCCTACTTGGACAAAGGGTAAACAATGACCAGAAACAGTTTAAGTATAATGCATATGTCACAATGACAACAACAACAACAACACTTGCACACAATGCAAATTATCTGACAGTGACATCATACAGTATCAGTTTAGTATAAAGCCCATAAATGTTCCTTTTTCTGAGGCTTTTGAAGAACTCACTGAGAAACTCACTCATAAGTGATTCTGAACATTGACTTTCCACCATTTACAAGTATTCTTACATTATAACATGAATTCATTAAAACTAAATGAAACAGTTCAAACCTAAGGTAACTATAGTAATGTAATAAGCCTTTAATACTATTTAAGCAGATAATGTCTGCTGAAAATAATCCAGTGTTAGTCCAAAGACACTGGGAGTGCACTTCAGAACACTAGTTTACTTTCCAATTTTTGCAACAAATCTTTACTTTTATCTGGTTATTTCAGCCAAAACAAACCTAATGCCACTTTTCCAGTAGCCTAAATAAACGATATAAAAACTCAGAATAATAACCCTTACTTTTTCTCAACTTCTCAGCACTCTCAACTTCTTCAAAATCCTACCTGCTGTTACTCAAACAACCACTATGCAATCTGTTTCTTATCGATGACTAAAGTGATCCGTTACTAGCTTCAAAACATTTGTATGCAGGGTATTTTTGTGTTTCCCCATAAACCACTTAACTTTTGGATCTACTGTTTGTCCTGACACCTACAGTAATAGAGTTGAGTCCCACACACAAAACACCACATTTGTCCCACACTTGCAAACAGATGGATTTGAACCAACCACTCAAATCTCCACAAGCAGCAGGTAAATGGTCATCATTCCTTTTCCGGTAAGTCATTAGCCTAATATAATGAGTCTAATAATAGCCTAACATAATTTTAATATGAGTAGGGTTGTCGACACTATTTGTACATCTGTATAGCCTATGCAGCATAATAGTTTTGGGGTTTTTTTTCATTAAAAAAATAATGGGATACTGAGGCGGGGTTCAGGCTTTGAAGGGCGGGGATTGAAACCCCTTGCAGTTTTTGATTTGTTGGTTCTGGGCTACTAGAAACATGGCATTGCAGCATGGCGGGTTTTACTATTCATCAAAAGATGAGACCACCTCCAAAATGCAGATTTCAAACTCCTTTCAAGGTAAGGAAAAGAAAATATTTTGGGTGTTTATACAAAAAATACATCATGGGTTTAAAACGTTTATTCAATTTCTGCCAAGAGGCCAAACTTTCAGATATCCCTTGATCAAATAAGCTACAACTCTGTATTTCTGGTCTTGTGGCCTAATTTGGGGTTGAACGTTTTTTTTTTTGCTCATATATTGGGGGTTTTCCTATCTTTATTTTAGTTTTGTAAGTTTTAGTAACAGTGGGGGACACAATTTTACTGTGTATATAATTTATATAGGCCTCATGTCCTGCTGTAACTACTGGTGAGGAAATAGGTCTGTTCATGAGATCTTAGGGACTAAGAAGCACTAAACTAAACAAAGCAGTGTGCACCATACTTTTTTTTTTTCTTATGAAGTGCAGTACATCAGCTTGCACATGTAATATGCTCAAAACTTCTGTCACCTGAACGAGCCAAAACAAATAAGACAAGACTGCAGTCTGACAACATAAAGAGGGGATTTTTATTGATCAGTTTATTCTTTCTATTTGTAACGGTTTCTATAGCTATACATTCATTAAGTTCTTGTCGTCTCAAACCAGATGAACTGCATCCACACGGTCCAATCTTGGAAGATAGTGTTAAATTTGAAAAACAACTTCATCATGTACCACAGTTCTTTCCATCACCTAAAGTTATTTCTGTGTAGTGCACAAATACAAAGGAAATGGCTTTGGGTTGACTGAGGTGGACAGATTTATTGGTATCATGGCCTTATTTTCTTCGATTTTGTTTCTTTTAGATACAAAAACCACACAGTTCTTGCTATACTTAGTATTTCATAAATACAGTACTGTATATATTATAACCATTCATCTTGTGCTAAACTCAAAGCTGTGCTGCAGTCAGTTAAAAAAAACAACATCAATAACATACAGGAAAATGAGCTTGTCTGTATAGACTGATTACAATGTCAACAATGATTTTACAGTATTTTTATATCTCAAACTATAGTGTGTGTGTGTGTGTGTGTGTGTGTGCATTTTATTGTGAATTTAAAAGGTGTGTGCGCTATATTAGTTGTGTTCTTTTAAATTGGACTATAGTCTGGAGAAACAGAGAGGTTAAAACAATAAAAAATACTTTTTTTTTAAAGAGCCACGTGGAAGTGATGTAAAAAGCTCTTTTACACACATAATACTCAGTCAATCGTTGGTTATACAAGTGGGTGTCATGGTTACCAATCACATGTACAATAAAGAACACAATACCACAGAACTACCAGTAAGTTTCTCCTGTGTCCGTCAGCATACGTCTGTGGATATTCGAACAATCTACAGGAGTATGAGGCAAACCATTACATTTATAAACAATATAATCAATTAAAATAATGAGTGAAAGAGAACAAAACAAATTATAGACAATATATTCTTTTTATAGCAGACGGGCACACTGAATGTTGAATATATTACATAGATGTGCAGACGGACCCAATCATAAACCAGACAAAAGCTTATTTAGAAGTTCAGTGTCTCTGACATCATCTTCCACCAGTCCATCAGCTCCTCCCGCTCCTCCTCCTTCCTCTCCATCAGAGACTCCAGCTCAAAGTCCACCTGAGACACATACAGAGCCACACAGAGGCAGATGAAAGACAGGAAGTGAAAGATTGTTTTTCTTTTGAATGAATTCCAGTTATTAGACGTCCCACCAAAGTCAGATTTATTTTTATTTTCTGACTTATTAATTGAATTTTGTTGTATCTCTTCATTTCCTTGTAGCCTAATACAACGGAAATAAAGGCCTTCTATTTTTTTTCTATTATTTTTTTTATTTACTGTATTTTTCGTATTGTCACTGAACTCAATGAAAAGAGAAACCGATGTTTTTCTCTCTGTCTGAATGCATTTTGGTCCTTTCCTCACTAACTGAGAGGCTGAGGTTGGGCCTATTATCTTGTACAAAAGAATCACTGCGATACGATAAAATAAGATTGACTTTTTATTAACGCAAAAAGATAATCAACCTATGATAACGTGCATTGACTCATAATCAAAGTAATCGCAGCGAGCCAAAACAATAGCGGTGAACACAAAATACTGTAACCAAGCTCAAAACAAAAGCTCCGCCCATACCCGTGTGACCCGCTATAACCCTACTCAATATAATTTCAAAATCAATGATATAATAAACAATAACCACAAGCAATAAAATGTAACACACTCCATACCTTAACCTTTAAAACACTTCAAATATACATGACTGTATCCATGGCTCCAACACTAACATATACACTTTTTAAAAAATGGATCACATAAATGATAAGATCAAATTATTTTTATCTCATCTTAATGCCCGAAGAAGAAGAATAAATAGTGTATGTTTTCGGACCTACTTTAAGAAATAGAATAATACATTTGGTTTCTTCAGTGAGTATTTCTGGACACTTATCAATATAATGCACTCATTTTTGGTTTGGTCTTTTCATGGGATTTATTGTCAATACAACATAAAAAATGAAGCAGGTTTATCGTAAGAGTACCGGGTTGTTTTTTTTCTGTGAGTCTTACCCTGGTAGCAGGAGTGAAGGGAACAGCCACCTTCTTGATGACAGTCAGGTATCCTGGGGCAGTGGCTGCCACTTTGTAATTTCCTGGAGCCAGAAGGCGCCAATAATCTCCATCTTTGGCTATGAAATACATAACAGATACATTTCTCGTTATTGCAAGCAGCCAGCGACAATCCTGTACAGTGTCTGTATATCTGTGACTCTAATACGATCAGCAGGCGCAAATATAAATCAGGTGTTGGGAAAAGGAGTTTACTACCAAATGTGTCCACTAGATGGCAATACAGCATCTTAGTATTGCTTTTTCCACATGAAACCCCATTACAGTGTTGTAAATAGTGTGTGCATGTTTTTCAGGATTGGGTGAATTAACCTGTGGTGATGTCATGGTCGATCCCCTCCACAGAGATGGATGCGTTGGAGATTGGGTTGCCCTGCAGGTCACGCACAAAGCCCTTGACACCACGGTGGACCTACAAGTGCACACACAGAGGGACATATGCACTTTGAGATATTTTACAATGAGAAGTGCATTAAAAAAAGTATCTTTATTATTCTTGTTATTGCAGTCAGTACTTAGTCCTTCAACACAGAAAATAGATAAGATCTTGCGATGTGTTTTTTCCTAACCTGCTCGATGTAGCTGACGAGTGAGTTGCGGTTCTGCTCCCAGTAGCTCTTGAGTGTGTCCTCATTGGGGAACTTGTCACAGCTAAGCTCCAGAGTGATCTCAAAACAGTTGCTGCTGAGGTAGTTGAAATCCTGCATTCCTGTTGCAAAAAAAAAAAAAAAATTTAAATAGAGCCAAATTCTTTAGCAGGCTAAAAATAAAGAAATAATCGAAAGCCTAAAGCTTACACACAAATACATCAGTACTGCTGAATTGCTGGATGATAAGCAACAACATTTTTGCAGAACAAAAAATATTTAGGAAATGTTGCTGTAGCTAAACTTGAACACTAGAGAGCACTGACAGCTTTTTTTTCAACCATACATTTCCCCTTAAACACATATCTTGTTGACAGTTCATTAATAATCAAACTCAAGGAAAACATACATTTTGGGGGGCATTTTTCTGCCTAATTTGGTAGACTTGAAAGAGATGACAGGAAATAAAGTAAAGAGACAAATGGGGAGACAATCTACAAACATCCTTGAATAGATTCAGTCATAGGATGCTGTGAAAAAGACAAGGCCTACCTGCCTGCTGTTGCACATATATATATTGTAAACTTACTTCTGATTTATGAACATAATAGACAGTTTATCAGCCTTATTAATCATTCCTCAGCCTTAATGGATTTTGCTGTTTCTCACCTCCTGGCACACTGTACCAGGCGCCTCCATTAGTGATCCCATCTTTGAAGCTGGAGTCATCATCGTTCTTGCGGCAGGGTTTTCGCTGTTGGTCAGACATCACTGGGTTGTAAATGGAGTAGGCCTTTGCCAGAGACTTGAACATCACATCATCTGGACTGGCACTGTACTCATGTGTGGAGCCTTAGAGGAGGAATCAAAGGGAAGGGAACAAACAAATGCACAATGTTTAGAAGGCGCCTGTGATAAAGCATGAAATGCACACCTGCATCTGCAACATATTAAATGTGTGTTTACTGTGAGTAATAATATACAGGAAGCCGTTGGAGGAAACATTTTCCATCTGATTTGAATGAAAGCTTCGGCATTCTGTAGGAAAACTAGTTAAAAGTCTGTTGTTTCAGTTATAGTCCAAAAACAGTCTCATTAAAGCCGTGCAAACACGCTCATATACAAAGCAGGGAAGCGTTTTACATACACTTTAACAACCCAAACAGGAAAAAACAAGGTGTGAAAGAGATTGTGTTTTCACATATGTGTGTATGTACCAGTGCGGGTTTCATCATATGGGTAGTTGGCCACGACATCTCCTCCATGCAGGTTGGCTGAGAGGACAAAAGGAATGTCCATGATCCAGTGGATCACTGCCTTGGTCTCTGGAGCCAGCTGTAAAGACAAAACAACTCTCTTATACTGACAAAAACAATCTGAAGATAAGGACAAGTGAAAGAGACACCTCTTTATCTAAGCTATCATCCATGTAACACACAAGATCACGTAAAAAAAATAAGGTTCTAGAGTTTTCTCTGCACTGTGGCGCTCTATTGTTGCCCAAAACTATTCAAAAGCATCACACTGTCACCCAGAGAGAAATATTTCTTCATTCATGACTTACAGAGACCTTAACAACGAGCACAGACAAAAATGCCTGTGAGATCAAAACCAATCAAAGCATATCGAAACTTGTTCAATTGTGTTTGGTTGCTAAGCTAAGTAGCTAGTTTCAACATTTGGATCAAGTGGTCTGAATGCGTACATGTGTGGCGTATAATGATTTATTGTAACTTGAACTAAAATCAAAATTAGATTATACTGATGTAATAGAAAAGGGATCATGTACAATATTAAACATACATGTCGCCATTTTGTATGCATTGTACTAGAGTTAGATTAGGGCTAGTTTACATCAACAGTATGTGGAATAGTGAATTCACAACTTTTAACATCAGCAGTAACCATCTTCACTGTTTTCAAAAAATGGTCCATCTGTGCTTATATCCCTATATGAGACAAATGTTGTTGTTTTTTAGCCTGACTAAAAACAGTCTGGCAGGAAAACTGAATGAGTCTAACCAGATAAATGAACATGGGCTCTGCAGTTTATTTATATGATTTCAGTATTTGATTTGATTACAGAGCTGCACATTTAGTTGACACTTTACGAGAAGAAATGCCTTCCACATTTGATTAACCTTTATTCAACAACCATCAATTATCATTTTTTATCATAGCAGCTTTAACTCAATTAAACACATATCCTGCTGCTGTTGTTAATTTAAGTCAACAGCTAAATACAATCCTTTAAAATGCACATTTAGAGTGTTTTGGTGTTGTTACTTTAACTGCTGTGGCCAGATAATATTATTTGCTGGTATGAATAAAAGTATGAATCATACTTAACATACTTTATGCCATAAAACCGATCAAATCAGATTTAGGAAAACAAAGCCGTGATCCAATCAGAATTGTGAGATTTGTGATCCGTTGCCCCACTACTCATTAGGAATGAATGGATTTGGGGCTGATTATTTTAATGGGAATTATCTATTCAAGGAACACAAAATGTCTGTTTGGGTTACCTTGGTGTTTTCATCCACGGCCTTCTTCATGTTCTGTAGCAGGTGGTTGTTGGCTCCGCCCTCTCGCTCGTTGATGTAGATGATGCGGTCCAGATCGGGGAAGTTGCGGTTTAGATCCACCCCCTGCGCGTTACTGCGGCCCACAAACCAGTCTTTGATCTCTCCGGGCTGAGCAAAGGAAACAGGGCATTAATGCTTGGATGTTGTGGGAACTAATTAGATGTTTGTTTTTCTCGTAGGCTTAATCTAATCGGTTGTAAATCCTGTGATCAGGTATATGTGTGTATTTCTTTCCTGCTTTGTCATCACCTGTGAGGCAGCCTTCTCAAAGCCATCTGGGTTCATTGAGGGCATGAGGTGGATGCGGGTGTTGTGGACGAGGTCGATGATGGTCTCGTTGCCCTGCTGGTACTGGTTGCACAGGTACTGGGCCAGGTAGATGAGCAGCTCTCTGCCCACCGCCTCGTTGCCGTGCATGTTGGCGATGTATTTGAACTCAGGCTCACCTGCAGGGGAGACAAAGAAGCTAGATGAGTTAATGAAGAGGTTTCCAAACTTCTAAGAGTAAGTACCAACGTTATTTTCTTAATACAGCTTCCCACTGCAAGCAAAGTAACAATGAAACACACAACTCTCCTGTAACACCATAACAAGAGGAGTAGTTCTGATATAAATATCTGTATCAGTATCAACTTCTGCTCTGACAGTCTAAAATGCAGTATCGTGTTTTGGAGAGTATGTCAGGTAATGCATACCACCGCCGTCCACACGCACACACGCACACACACACACACACACACACACACACACACACACACACACACACATCTGCTTTTAAGTGGATTATCATACGACCATAATTAACAACAACAGAGGAGGGCAGGGGATTAAAGTGTTTTTCATAGCTAATTTTCATGCTAAATTAAGCATATCAAATAATTACAGTTGTGTCATAGGGACACTTGGTATGAGCCAATATCAAAAACTATCAGAGGTGGAAAATGGTACAAGAACATCTCTTATAAAACATTAAAATGATATGTGACAGTATATATATTGTGATTTAATTATAGTTTTTGAATGCCAAGCATGAATTCAGTCAGGGTAAAACACATTGTCTGTGACAACATTGTATCTCGACTGTTTTCGACCTTGTAGCCATTTTTAAATTCTTCCTTTTGTAGTTTAATCATTGACCGAAGACTCTGAATCGAGATGCATCACACTACCCTACACTGCTGAGCACAAGCCGATTTAATTCAAAAGTATTTAAAAAAATTACCAACTACTGTTTACATCATTGCAATGTTATTACTACAACTTGTATAAAGTGTTTATAATCTGGGTCAGAAATACTCTTATTTATCCCTTAAGGGTTCCTTGTAGTAAAATCATTTGGCCTTTACAACAGGCTCTTGTGTACCACCGGTGATAAACGTACCACAGATTGGGAATCAGTGAGTCACTGCACCATAGAAACAGCTGTAATTGTCAGAGGCTGAACACCAAATATAACCTGCCACGTAATAAAAAAGTAGAAACATAACAACAACGTCATAATCTTTGTGATAAGAAGCCAGTTTAGTCACGGACCAAGAGAAGGTCACCTCATCATTTGTTATGGAGGTTAACACTTAACACACACACACTGAGACAAAAATCTACTCACACAGCAGCAGTGACAAACACACTGACTCATCAGCTAAAGGTTGAACATCACTGAACACTACAGTCCGGGACTCAATTTGGGCAATAATGGCTGACAGACAGAGGATTATTGAGTGCACTGTCACAGTCTGCCTGAATCGGCCTGCTGGAGTGACAGCTCTGGGATCAGATTGGAATACATTTGCGTTTGACTTCGGGGCATGATGTTACAATTTAGTTCTTCGGCCAATATCAAAAACCTCTCTGCTCATGCTGTGGATTGCCTTTTAGAAAAAAAACATAATCATGTTTTCAGCACGTAAATAAATGTGATTTTTCTGGAGTAAACTAATGTATTTCATGTCAGTGTGTACAGCAACAAAGACATGACTAGGCTGCATTTCCTGTATTTGCTTCGCTTTCCTTTATAATGAGAGATATTGGGTTTATATCTGAGAGCTATTTGTGTTGTAATGACCAAAGCTGTAGCCATCTGTTTAATACACTAACTAGCGATTCTCTCACTTCTCTGTGTCTCCTCATGTAGAAACTGATGCTGTATCTAAACACACAATAGCTACAGAGAGACAAATACTAACAAGGAGTAATATACAGCTCTTAAACAATGACAAAGAGAAGGAACAAATGAGAACACAACACACTCTTTTGATTTACTACAAACCAGAGATCTGTGGCTGTACTAGTAGAAAAGAACATCTCTGAGCGTTGAGCCATACAAATAAAAAAAAAATCTTCTGTTCAGTTTCTTACTTGTGAAATGTGGCACAAGCGCAGCAGATGGCGAGGTGTTTGTGCGCCTGTTTGTGGGTGGGTTTGAAGTCAAACTACAGCAGGGGTCCATTTTTATTGGGGGGCTTTTTGTTCATGCCCTACCTTTTTTTTTTTATTATTCCTCTACTGATTGGTTTGACCATTTTCAAGGAAGCTATCTAACCTACATCTCTTTTTTTTGTATTAATTAGCTTATATATTGTCTAAGAAGTCATTTTAAGATGTACATGTTCATGTGTCTGTCGAAATCTATTTTTGTGGATTTCTTTGAGGGTTTGATGTGAAGTAATCCCAGTGGCTATATGAGTGAGTTAAACACACACGCACACACGCGCACACATCATGCCCAGCACACATCTGGTCGTCCGGTTATTTTTAAACGCTCAAATCTGGTCCCTCTCAGAGTAGCTACTAATGATTTCAAGCCTACAATTAACTCTTTCTGTGCTGAGGTTACTGAATGGTTTTTACAGGCTGCAGAGGCCCAGTGGAGCTGTCAAACACACACACTTACACACACAAACACATACTTTGAAGTTGCACTCTGTCTAAATGAGTTAGCATGATTCAAGCTATTACACAGATGCTCAGTATCTGGAGACATTTTCCTGTCTGCCACTCATGGAGCTATTGAAGGATTTCAGATGCATCAGGGTAGTGATGGGTTACATGCAGAAGTATGAAAAATAACATTTTCCATTTCTGTTTGCGTCTTTTATTATCATTTTTGCAAACTCAATTTTAATGTTACAGCTCTTTGTACTTTTTTTTTTTTTTACACATATTGTTGACCAGAGGAAGCAAAGTTACACAAAAGCAAGCATGATGCATCACACTAAGGCGGAATAAATCAAATATCCTTTCTGCTCTGGAGCGGATTGAGACTATTCCCATTTTACTCCATTTAATTCACTTCTCCAACTATTTCTATCGCTCTGTGCTTTTATTTCTTTTGAGACATGCATGCCCATGCAGTAACTTCCCAGAGGCAAATCTTGTTGTTTTATGATTGATATAAAAATGATTCATTTCTTATAGATTAGATGCCATAAATGCACAAAAGCGGAAGCGTTTTTGCCTTTACAGCTGCATAAAACTGCAGAATCTGTTGGCCCGGATATGTTGATATAGCATTACGGTTAGTGTTTATATTATTGGTAATGTTTTCTACTAGCATTTCTGTTGGCAGAAAAGGCATATACAAGCAGAAAGTCTATGTGGATAGCGAAAAGGGGAGGAACTCTAACAATCGTTTTAATTGTCTTAACAGAGTAAGTAAACGTAACACAGCTTTTTCACAAGTTTTCAATGATACAAATGAGGGGGAAATGGCAAATCTTTGGACTGGAGAAGCAGGTTTTGGAACATGAATTGTGTCTTAAAAGATTCATTATTTCAAATTAATGAATTTAATTATTAAGCTAAAATCCATTTCAGTTGACTATATAAGGCCTTGTTTTTGTTTGCATTTATGTTGGCTTGAAGATGGTTGCATCATAAACCTTTGAGATCCCGGGATGTTCAGTGAGTGGAGAATCTCTCCTTTCATGGCTTTTATACATGTGCAAAATGAATTACTTTTGTTAAGAGATCTTAAATATCCTTAATCCTTTAAGTTCTCCTGAATATGTGTAAAACTGACGTGGCACAGTTTATTGCATTATTCTGCGCTTTGTAAGGCGTTATGAAACCTGTCGGTCAGGTGGTCAATACGGTCTCCTCGGTGACAACAAATAATGAGTATTGCTGCAGCGTCATTAGGGAAGCACCACATCAGAGTGCTCTCAGTCGCCCTGGCAACCCCTGACACAGGCAGCTGCTTAGGGAGACAAATTAACTCAGAGATTGAGTAAACACACTCTCGATCTACGCCTGTCTGCCAGTCTCATGAATGTGTACACACACACACACACACACACACACTCATTTAAACAAGCTGTTTGTTAGCTCTGAATGCCTGCCAGCTAAGTGACCTGTTATGACACAGACACAGAGAGCAAAGACTGAGCAATAAAACAGTTCAAATTAAAAATACAGATATGCTAAAATGCATTAGATTGATATAACAGTGTCTTTGCATTATAATAATACACTTGCTTTATTTAAAGGCTGCATTAAAAAAAAGGATTTTAATCATTAGCGTGATAGGAGCATTAGCAATAATCACATTGGAAAAATCTGAATTTACCTCAATAATTCAGAAAAGATATCTCATGTTTACAAGCAATGCTTTGCAGGTTGTCTTATTTTTTCGCTCCTTGGTTCATAAGACATTGCAAATTGTTTTTCAAAAATTACAACTTGATGTTTTGAAATATTTTTCATTGAGACCAAAAAGAGAAAATATATGAAAACAAACTGAAGTGATTAGAGGCTAGGATAGGAGGTAGACTGAATATATGGCCAAGTATACACAGCATCACATGAGGTGACGTCACTCAGCATGTTGAGGTGCCGACTATGAAGCATGCAAATCACACAAGAATAAATAGGGATACGATTGAACAAGTGAAGGGAACAAAAGAGGTTAAAGGTAGGTAGGTGTAGGAAGAGCAATAATCTGAAAAGAGGCTTTGGCAGCAGGAGAAGCCAAACAATAAGAAGAGGAAGTAGTCAGGAGATGAGAGAGGGTCTGTGATGTATAATAAATGACCTCTTGCTGATGCCTTGGCCTTTCTCTCATCCTCCTTCCGTTTCTATCTCTCCCTCATTCCCTCTGCGTTCATCCGCCCACTCCTCGTCTTCTCCCTCGTCACCCTGTCTCTTCAGTTACACTTGCCGTTTTCTCAATCATCATTCCTTTCTTTTTTGGTTTTCCAGCAACTCCTTCTTCTTCCGAGCTGTTTTATCTCTGTCTTCTCACTGCCTTCTCACAGTTTAAATTTACAACATTTCACTTGGTTTTTTCGACACAACTCTCTTTTGTTTTTCTTCCTTTGCAACGTGTGTCATTAAATCCATGTCTTCTTGTGTTTCACTTCATATTCAGTATTACATATGTTACTTGATACGTCAATATTCAGCAGTGTGTCTGGCTGCTTTATGTTTTAACAGGTCATCCCCAGTGTGCGTGATCACTGGGGATTACATACTTCCTCTGTCGTCTGATAAAACAGTCAAGCATCTCCGTCCCCCTCAAGATTGTCTACAGCATGTTGGATGAAGCAGTGCCTCTCCCTGACATAATCTTTTTTTATCTTTTTTTTTTCACTTTTGAACAAAGCCAAACGTATTACATGATAGAGTATCTCCCCGCACTTGAAGTCCTGTAAATAGTTCCAGACATGAACGTTGAAAAGAGTTAAACCAGAGCATGTTTCAGTGAAGAGGAACCCCTTTTCAGCTTGTGTTCGGCCAGCTGCAAGAAATAAACACCCCCCTTAAATGAAACATGTCACCAGTGTTTAGTGGTGGAAGGACTAGTCTGATGCTCTACTTAGGTAAAAGTAGCAATTTACTTAAAAATACTACTCTTTTACTAGTTAAAATCCAGTATTTAAAAGCTTACCCAAGTCAACATGCACAATTACAATCATCAAAATGAAGGGTCTAGTAATAGATAAATGCACTGATCAGGCCTATGCATCAAAAGGCCCCGGTTGGAGTTATATTATTATACTGTATCTATTGACGTTTATTAAGGATGTTTTATAGTATTTTATTGGGAGGTTAAATGTTAAATCCAATCTTAAAAGTAAATATAAAGTTAACACACCTGATCACCTTTCCAAATGTAGTCAAACAGAAATCCATACTAACATCTTTGATGTAGCGATGCTTCTTGGAAATACATCTTATACCATTGGAAAGCCTGCTTATTTCCATTTTAAATGGTGCCACATTTGTAAGGAACATGCTTTGTGGGATAAGCATCAGAGCTGAGAATGTAGTTTGCGCCCATGAAAAACTTGCCAAATCTTCTCTGCCAATGCCAAACAGCTTTTTCTGCTGTTGCTATTGACTCTTGTTTTGAGCTTCTGATACCCCAGGTGCTGACAATCAGGTGCCAGATTGGCAGCACCTGTGAGCATGGGCCCTGCTACGGTGGTCAGTTGGTGTCTGCTCCAAGCTTGCCACGTTTGCCTGATCTGGATAGGGCCCGTGCCATAGAGCTACTTCAATCCGGTGTTCCGCACAACCAAGTTGCAGCATTAATTGGAGTGAGCCCTAGTACCATCTTCAAACTGAAGGCTAAGTTACATTTAACGGGGAATGTCAGAGACAGGCTGCGTAGTGGGCGTCCCAAGAAGACGACACCCCAAGAAGGCTGTTTCCTAACCATGTCAGCATTTAGGAACCGTAGGCAGTCTTCTACAGATATGCAGTCAAGGTTTGCAGGACGATATAGCCGACGACTCTCTTCCCAGACAATCCGGAACAGACTGCACGCAGCCAATCTCCGGTCATGCCAGGAGGCCTGCCATGACTGCCCTTCATCGTCAGGCGCGTTTTCGCTGGTGTCGGCATCACGTGCACTTCAACCTGAACATGTGGAGGAACGTTATGTTCAGCGATGAGTCCAGATTCTGCCTACGGCAATTGTATCACAGGGTCTAAGTGTCAAGAAGAAACGGGGGAACACTATGCTTATTGCTCTACCGATAGGGTAACAGCTTTTGGTGGAGGCAGTGTGATGGTGTGGGGCGGCATCTCCCTCACTGGAAAAACAAGGCTTGTCTTCATTAGAGGCAATCTCAATGCAGAAAGATATCGAGATGAGATTCTGCAACCAGTGGCAATCCCATAACTCCACAGTCTAGGACCGAACTCTATCCTCCAAGAAGACAACGCTCGCCCCCACAGATCGGGGTTTATCAGAGACTACCTCCACAATTTGTGAGTGTAGTGGATGGAATGGCCTGCCTGCAGTCCTGACCTCAACCCCATTGAACACTTGTGGGATCAGCTTGGGCGTGCTGTTCATGCCAGAGTGACCAACCAAATATTGTCTACATTCAAAATTCAAAAGTTATCCAGTGCACTGACTGTCTTAGCATTAGCCATAGCCAGGGATGGTCAGAGAAAATCCCTGCCATTTAAACCTAACCTCAATACATTTTCTCTTTGACTCTAAAGTAAAACAAAATTATGATCATTACTATTGGAATTTTTTTTTGATCATTTATAAGCTAGCAAGCAATCACTGTAATAGCTTGTTCGCAGATCATTTAAATGGTAGGCTTATATTATACATTGAAGGGTAGCTAGAAATTGTTATCCTCTCTTAGCATCTTTGGTGTTAACACAAGTACACCAGAGTGGAAGCACTATTGCTCTTAACTCTACACTAGAGGTTAGCAAACCGTTTACCAATTAAAAAACCCTGTGACACTGTGCATCATGAGCAGTCATTAGGAGTCTATATCTGGCCAGCTGATGACTTTAAGTTAAATATTGAGCTCTGTTTTAGAACCGTTTTAGTATCTACCCAGCCCTGACACCGAAGTACCAGTTGCTCGGTGGAAGGATGGGTTATCTCTCAACCATAAGGTTGGTGGTTTGACCCCCTGCCTCTGCAATCCTTGTGCAAGACACTGAACGAATGATTAGATTAAAGGGAAACTTTAGGGTTTTGGATGCATCTGTCCTCAAAACTATTCTCACATAAGTGTTGGTGTAGCCTAATCCATTTACAGTAATGATAAATTCTGCATTAGGAATAGCATCTTTGTAAATGTGTTACTCTACTTGGCTGATTGTTTTATCACACTGCATGCACTGTACACTAATGTGTCACCATTGGGTTTACACTCCTGACTAAAGGTACTTCCTGTGCTGCAGTGCATGACAGATGGCTTCTTATTGACAGATGCATGAGCTCAGGACTGCCGTCCTCTTGAGTGAGCCAGCCAACCAGGATCTGCCAGTCAGCCAGCTCAGTGCACTAAGCCGATCTGTTACCCCGGCAACTGCTATTTTGGCTCCACCTCAGAGTTTCAACACAGTGTAGGGTCAGATAAAATATTGGTCGGACACCTTTTAGAATTCACATGTCCTTCCATTTTATTTCCTCATCATCTTTTTCATCCTCTATTCCTGGTTTCCCTGCTAGTCTCTGGAGCTTTCCCCAGTTTCCTTCTCTGTTTCACCCCCTCCCTATATGCTTTGGATGTTTTGCTCAGCAGAGACGGTGGGAGAGGAGAGGAAGGGGAGGAGGGGGAGGTCCTGCCCCTGTTGGTGAGGCAGCGGCGGCTTGGAAACTCATCTGGTAGTAATAAGGGTTCCACAACGCTACTGTGACTCATTCCAGTGCACGCCCACCAGTCTATTACAGGCTTATTTAGTAGCTACATACGGTCATTGGACTCTCTGACCATATGAGCTGAAACCTGTGGTGCACCATTTAGACCACACAAATTCAGCCAGAGAGGAAGATACACCTTCATGACAAAAATACTCCATGAGATGTATAGCTGAATTAAGCACCAAGAATTAGATGGTAAACATCTATAATAATCACAAGCAAGGTCTTATTTTCCCAGGCCGACAACTTGTATCAAGATGGAGATCCGGGTTAAGTTTCTGACATCAAGAAATGGAGAATAGACAAAGATAAAAAGCTCATGAATATAATCATGTGTAGCTAATTCATTCTAGCCTGAGAGATTTTTGGTCTCTCTCTGTTGCTTCATCATCACAAAATAAGAATACGATAGTTGAGGCCCGTCCTCCATTTCCATAGAGCATTTCAATCCCCAAAAAACTGTAATCAATATTGTCTGTTATGTTCGTCTTCTGCTGTTTATTAGCCAATAATCTTAAGGAAATCAAGTGATTCAAAGCTTACATTTTTATTCTCAAATGTAAGCATTGAATGATATTAGAATTTTTTTGGAGTAAGATTACATGTATGGATCCTTATATCAATTCAGTGATCAACAATTACATAGCAGTCACACAAAATCAAAACATCCATGTGATCATCCATAAGATAAGCACACTAAAAAATATATATAGGCTACCATTTCATAGCCTGTGTGTAAAATAAATTTAACTGTATGTATTATTATGGGCCTATCCTCTAATACCAATGGCAGGCCTCTGACTGGAGATAAATGGAAACCGTAACAGTGACTTTGTGATTCAAGTCACAATCGTATCTAATCGTTGTCAAAGTCGAATCCAATATCATCTTGAGGGGAAAGCTGGGATGTATCCAAGACTATGTTGTGTGTTATGTGTAATTTCCTCTAGTGCCTCTGTCAGAGAGAAGAAGGTGCATTGCATCTTTAACCAGCAGTGGTGGTTGACAATATTTGCTGTTCCTGTGTGTCTGGTGTGTAAGCTGCCTTGAAGCCAAGAAGTGTCCCATAGACTCACATCACTTGTTCTGCTGTATGGTTTCAACGCGCCTGGCTGCAGTCCAGTCCAGACAGCATTGAGGGGTGTGAACATCGAAACGGTTTCAGTCAAGATAACAGGTGCACTTACAATTCAGTTACTGTGCCCCCTCCTGATATATTGATCATTTTTGCTCAAAATTGGAAGGAATGCTGATTGTAAAGATATTTAAATATAAATGAGGCATGAACCTTTGCCTTTAGGGTGTTTCTGACAGAATCACGACTCTTGATAAGCACGAAGAGATCCTTATCAACCAGCAAAATGGCGGCTTTGCGTAGCTGATCGCACCATCTATCATCTAGAGTCCTCTGAAGTGATGCAGCAGTAGCAGCAGGGCCCTGCGCTCACAGTTTAACGCACGCACACACACACACACACACACACACACACACACACTCACACCTGTGCTCCTCCTCTACTGTTCTCCCTCCATACCACATCCATCATCAACACAGGTAGTCTTCTGTAATCTACACACCTAACACAAATTAAGACAAGCAAGCAGTTCAACAGTGCGTGATGCGTTCATACAATGGAAAAGAAAAGTGGGGACAAAGAGAGAAGAATGGGCTGCAAACACTCCCCGCATCATGAAGCACACTTTGCATGTGCGTAAAACTGACCAGGCTCGTGCGTCCCGGGGTTGTCGGACATCTCCAGCACCAGCAGCTCGCGGCCCTCGAAGCTCTCCCCGATGGTGTAGATGCGGGTGATGGTCGGGCACTGCAGCCACACCGACACCAGCGCTTTTCGCAGCTCCTCATAGCGGTGGTACTCGAAGGAGATCTCGCCCTCGGTACCCGCGGAGCTGACTAGGGCGACCGCTGCAGCCCCGAGTAAAACTACCGCAAAAAAAGGTTTCATCTTGTCGTGTCCTCGTTTCCCTAAGCCGTGTCTGTCTGTCTGTTTGCTTTCCTTCCTGCGGCTTGGTCCCAAGCCTTATCTCAGTGCTGCAGCCTGGCTTCAGGTTATAAATATCTCTCTTCGTGCTGCTCTCTCCCTCTCCTCTGGTTGAGCGTGATGCGCTGCTCTACCTGAGTCCCTCCAGTGTAAAGCCACGCATAGGATCAATACATCCGGGCACAGTTTTCAAATTAAAGCTTTATTTCATAGCTTACTGTTTCTTGTACTGCGTAGCAGTAAAGTTGTCCTGTAGAGTTTGCTTTACTAATTTACCAGTTGTAAAATACATGTTTTCCTTTTATTTAGGATATCTATCTATTCTTATTTGTATTTACCATTTTTGTCTTTTTGTTTTTGCAATTGGTTGTAACTCTTCTCTTCACAACAGCCCTAAAAAAATATGTTCATATTTGATTTCTATGAGTAGCATTAGGGATTGGTGGGGTAAGGCAAACGATTAATTTGTCTGGATGAGATAGGGGACATGGGACATGTCACCTGGTTCTAAGGCTTTGAGTCAGCTTTTTGTTGGTAAACATGGCGACAGAAAAGATTGAAGTGTGAACTGTTTGAGCTTAGTTTAGGATAAGCCAGGTAGTGTGGGTGGACAGGGTCAACATTTGTTACACCAGAACTTGACTGTTCGACATCTATCTATCTATCACACAACAGCAGTAATTCCATCTAAACATTTCCTTCTGACAGCAGCGACATATTGACATACTGCATGACCCCATGGCACCTCACATTACTTGTTATCCAGAATGTTAGGGCATGAGTTAGTGTTGCAGCAGAAGAGGATGAACTGGATCAGACGCCCAATGAGGATGAAATTTGGGGTGACTGGTTCGGGGTCAAAGGAGATCATCAAAGCTGACTCGAGAGCTCAAAATACATGGACTGGTTCAAGTTTCCACAGAAGTACTTAAAGGGAGTTTAAATCAGCAAATGTGGGACAAGCTGTAATCCTCTCTTCTGTCCTGCTCTGGTCAGGTTCTGGATAGTTAGTTTACCGCAGCTTCTCTAAATCTTGGGGGTTGGCTGGCTGTAATGGTTAGCACTCATGTAAAAGAGTCTGAAAAATGTTTGCTGCCTCAGGGTCAGCAGTGCGAGGGTCTTGGGGACTGGCAGGAAGAAGGGTAAGGCCCTGCAGAGCCCAGAATAAACAAGTGTACATCAGCTGGACCCTCTTCCAAGACACATCTTCTTCTGGGGTAGAGGAGCTAGGGATGGTCTGAACCACTAAGCAGGATGGGCTGAATACTATGAAATGGTGTGTTGGATAGGCCTTATAAGTGTCTGAATCAATAAAACAATTGTGCTCTATAAGTCTGTTTTGTCAAGCCAAGGTGGCCTCCTTGATAAGGAACTTTGTGGATGGTTAATGGCAGATGCAATATTCTCATCAGGTACAAACAAAACTGGGGTGACACGTAAAAATAAAGAACTATTAACATGTTTTTACAAATTTTATTTTTTACATCAGAAAGTGTATGACAATATCATCCAATATCTAATTCTTATGTTTACCATCTCCTTGTTGGCCTTAATCTCAAACATCCTCATTTCCTGTTGGTACCTGCTGCTGCTGGCTGACTTGACACCACTGTTTGTGCTGGAGGAGGCAGCAGGGGTGTGTCCACAGTGCAGCAGAGAGGAGATGGAGAGGACCTCCTGTATCTAATCATCCACTATCCACTACAAAAAACATATATTATACATACACTCATATACATATATAGTGTCTGCAGTTAAAAAAAACAATAGCTCACCGAGAAGGTGAACATATTTGATGACTGTAAGAAATAGAAATATAAGTGATGCAATACTAGAGACATGTCAATAACAGACTGTGTTTAATGTGATGTATCCTGAGGCGCAGATCATCAAGTCTTCTTTGTATACAGTTTCTGTAGAAATTATGTTGCCCAACACAACCAAACTCCTTCAATTTTTTATTCTTTAAAAAAAAAACAGAACATCTTTAATTTATTTTGTTAAATCAACAGCTTTTTATTATTTTTAACAGTCTTAGACAAAAAAGTGCCATATGAGCCGAACCCTTTTTATTATGAAAATTCAACAGTTTCCTCAGAACTGCAGCAACAACACAAAGTCACAATGACTCAGTTTCATTAAAGAGGAAGTGCTATAGTGCTAAGACATTCAGAGGTAAGTGGAAGCATTTCACGAGAGAGTTTTATGGTACAGCCTTTTCCCCTCATTGACCAGACAAAGCAAAAACTCAAAATGAGGATGTTGATGCTTTTATTCAGTCAACAGCTGTTGGCAGAAGAGGACAACAGTACTATCTTTTTGCAGAGAGGCACAGATGACACACTGAAACCAACAAACAGTTTGATTCAGAATCAAACCAGAGTCAGTCTGATTGCTTTCAAGTACACCTGTAGTGTTTGTTAACTGTATGTCCCAAAATCATCAGAGTTTGTGTGTGCTCATTGTGTCTGTTCTGCTGCCCCCTTCTTCCTCCACGCAGACCAGTTGTGAGTGTATCAACAGATGAACCGAAGCATTGAGGACCTTTACTGCTCCTTCTTGTCTCCCTGTTTCTGCATGTACTTGTTGAACTGGCCGTCTGTCTTCAGCAGCTTGTCCCACCAGGTGAAGGTAGAGGCATAGTTCCCTGTAAAGTTCATGTGGTGGAAGTCGTGGAAACGGGTTCCCGCGTAGAACGGGATCAGGTGCAGTGGGTTTAGAGGGATGTCATAGCCACTGAGAGGGGGGGAAAAAATCATAATTTAAAGTATGTCAGCTATACATATTAAATAAATTACCCATTTTATTTTGTCTTATATATCAAGAAAATATGTTTTCAATGTGTTTTTAAAGCCAAGAAATTGGTCTACAGTGTTTTTGCAATAATGATATGAGTAATGATGCATTTATTCTGGTTCTGTATATGGCTAAATGCATTTTGATGATAAGCCTACAGTACCGCATCAAAAAGGAGCTCTGTCACCTCAAGTAACTGCATAGCTCCATAGACAACAACATGACATGACATATGGTGTTCCCTGTCGCCCCCTAGTGGTCTACCTTACAAGTTACAGTCTAAAATCGCCTTATTTCCAATACTTCTGCAGGAAAGTGCAGCAACATACTAAAAATGGCAGCTGTGTTTTCTCCTACCTGTGGACATCAATGGTCTCCAGCAGGCGGAAGGACACCCAGGCCCACAGGAAGAACACATGGTTGCAGAAGATCATGATGCCAATGAAGAAACCCGCTCCCAGGATAAGAGTCTCTGCAGGATGAGCATATTCTGCCTGCATGCCGAACGGAGACTGAGGGACAGCAGAGAGACTGATATGAAAACATGTGTGGCCACCTATTGTGATGGCACAGTGGAAAGAAAAGCAAGACAATGCTGTGTTGGTGCTAATTTGTTTTCTCGCTTGTTTGTAAAACTCACAGTGAACTCATGGTGGACTTTGTGGATGTATTTGTAGATTCTGCGGTGATGCAGCAGACGATGGAGGAAGTAGTGCCAGGCATCTTCAACGACAGCGCAGCCAAAACACTGAGCCAGGACATACGGCCTAGAGGAGCAAGCAGAGTAGTTATTGCAACAGATATGAAATATGCTACTGAAGGTAATAAAGCCTCTTTTCACACATGCATTACACTCATAAAGATATCCTCTTGTGAACTTAAACTTGTACATGTGAACTTAAAAGGCTGACTCTGTTTACCTAACTTGATCCAATAAATAGTCTGTAACATTCAGCTTGAGTGTGTCAGAAGGATGATGACATTGTTCATTTTGCAGAGCAGAGTTTATCCCTGTGGGTTTTTCCTAATGCTGCCAGTTGGTTGTGTTTTCCCTTGTCTAACCTCGTCGTAGAGTTTTCCTCATGAGTTTCTCTGTGAATTATTTTGGTCTGTTTTTTGACCTTGCTTTTATCTGCTCATCTGGATTTGTTTGATGATTGGATTTTCTGTGTACCAAACCGGACTGAATAAATACCTGCCTGATTTTACTCTGCCCCTGTGGAGTCTTACTTTTGAGCCCATTGTGTGTACTTTGTGTGATAGTGTTACAGATGAATGACTATTTAGCATATGTTTCACGATTATTATTGCAGAAGGAGAACTATGTGCTTTAATTTTGAGGCTATGCTATGCTGCACTATCTGAAGGAAATACAAATATTCAGCTGTAATTGTATTAAGAACAAAACAAGCACTAATAAAATTGTTTTTGGTATCATGCTAAAGGAGAACAAAAAAGTATATATATACATTTCACACCATGTATTTAAGAATATCTTATGCTCATGTGTCGCTGTTGTATAACTTTTAAACACTACATCCCTGGTACTTTCAATGTCATGCCATGTTCATTTGTGTTTTATTGCACTTCCACTCACCAGCGTGGCATGGAGTCCCAGTCGTAAGGGATGTTAAAGAACTCAGTGAAGTAGTATGTCCCACAGATCAAAGGTAGCTGGATGCAAAAGTGGTTAAACAGCAGCATCTTGAAACATCTCCACTGTTTCTCCCATGTCTCTGGTTTGTCCTGCACACCAACACACATACACAAAAACAAACAAACACAGTCAGGAAAAGGACGATCTATTAGGAGTCGTCTCCACTTAGATTTAACAAAATGTTTATCAGGACATATTCAGTTCCTCACAAACCTGTTGAATCTTGTATTTTTGCATGAAGGGCATGAACTGGAAAAGGAAACCAGGCAAGCAGAACAGGAAATAAATGAACTCATGGACAATGAGAGACCCCCAGGTGGCAATCTGAAACTTGGTGTAGTTGTCCAGCATGTAGTCCCAGGCGTGTTTCAGGGAGGGCTGGAGGGGATTTTCTGGCAGTGCTGCATCAACATACTCCACAGCCAGGTATGCAGAGCTCAAGATGTCTGCTGAGCCGTTCATTGCCATGATGATAATGTGAGGTGACTGCAGGCCTGAAGAGATGACTGACAAACAGAAACACTATGTTATATATGTGGCACTCTGAATGAAGTTATTATAAAAACAGGTAGACAGCTTAAATTCATTGCCATATACTTCAACTTTGTCAAAAAAAAAATGGAATTTGAAAAATAAATTCAGAAGGAAATAGCCTTTTCTAAAAACAATTAGCAACAACAAATAATATTCATATATGGCAAATAATCAAAGAGAGACAGAGACTATTGGTAAACTAAAAGAAAACTCACAATTGTACACTAAAGAAAATGTATGTAATGTAATCACATTTTATGATGAATTCATCAAAAGTTCATATACTTTAGTTTGCTGCATTAATTGCACAGTTCTTAACTGAGTCATTGTGGTTCTTAAAAACATTTCACTAATGTTATATAGTCAAAATATTGACAGATTATGTTTTTAACATATTTCTCATACATTGTCAAAAAAGACATCTACCATACAGGAGAAATGTAACTTCACGCTACTGAACTTACAGACATATATCAGTTTTATAATCCTATTAAAATTGTTTACTAATCAAAACAACTACCAACAACCACTTTGTCAGGCTGATGCTGCACACAGGCTCAACACATCACAACTTGTCTGATACTTATTCTGAGGTTTTAAAATGTACATTTACCCTGAGAAACTTTTGTTCAGTGAAATACTTTATAAACAATTAATATTCTTCCAAAAATAATCATAAACAGTTTAAATAGACTTTGCTATAAGATGCAGATTCTAGAGATATGTAAAGGTAGGTCTGGTGCAACAGTGTTAAAAGTTCTGCATTCTGAGTTAAGATGCAAAAGACAACCCTGGGACTGTGTTGCAATTTACATTATTGGCATTTTATATGTGCATATATGAAGCAATAAATTTTTTTAATGTAAAATCCAATTATGTACTGTGACAAGTAGGAACTAAAGCTCTAAAACAAATGTCCTCTGTGCAATTTGTATGTAGGCTAGATGGTATGACATGAAAATACTCAAGAACAGAGGCGTGAGATTCATTCTTTCCTGAGTTATATATGTAACTGTTGACCATTACACAACTTTAAGACAAAAGACGTGCACTTAAATAAGCATGATTGATTTTAACTTCAAAATACTTCAGTCTCCTTTTACAGATGTTAGTGTAGTTTTAATGATTTTAGCTGTTTTGCGGTACAATAACCTTGCTACACTGTTTTACATACTAGGTTATAGCCTGATAATATGAGGCTAAAAAAAAACATGCAATTCAGATCATTATATTCAACACTACTTGCAGACTTTTGTCGCAACAGCAGCTGCCAAACAATAAACTACATTTAAATGGAAGAAACGTAGACAGTCAGGACCCCCCCCCCCCCCCCCCCCCAAGACCTTTATGTGTGTCCCTGCAGCTCTCCCATATAACACTTTCCAGTATCAATAGTTAACGCTTCAACACTTTTACACAATTACAGGATTATTAATTAACAGCTGTGTTCGCTAAATAGGCTTTAGCAGTCTATTTTCCGCAACATTTCACAGCTCGTAACAAAACATGGGCTTTTATTATTTAGCATGCTAAATGTGCTGATACAATTTACAATCCCAAATAACCACTGAGAAAAAGCTACAAGTACACATTTGAAGCAGACAACGCCGGACAACTCTCACCTTTTCAGCGGGTTCTTCCGTCTACCTGAGCAAGAGGCGGTAGGGCCGAGTAAAGTACAGTAATATCGAGTAACCTGATTGGCCGAGAAGAGAGGAGACTGACGTCGCGGGACCGAACGGCATCGCTGATTGGTCCGCGTGATGGAGCGATGATAGTGAGACTGAAGGTTTCTACAGCAACGGCCAATCAGATGCGAGCTTGGCTTTCATAACCTCCGAAATACTGAACAGTATGTACGAGGGAAGAGATGGTGTGGTCCGGAGAACTTTAGTCATGAATTTTTATCTACTTTATCAGGGTGGGGAAATTTGGGAAATGACATTGACGGTTTGAAAACATATTAAATCATATATAGTTTTACCCACCTTTTTAAATAAAATAGTTTTTTTTTCCTGCTAGGAAGGCCTACTGTTTATTTCTCAAATAATATACATCTAGTCTTGTTAAGAAGACTTTGGCATCTCAGTAGCTACATTTAAATAACATGTTTACACCACTTATTAATGTATATCTACGTCCTTCTCTGTTGTTTGTTTTATTGTTATACCTTTTCTGTTTTATTGGATTTCAAGTTTGATATTCTTACAATGTTTTTGTTGTATTTCTATGTATTTCAGTGTGTTCACTCTTTGAAAGAAACAAAAAACTGCACTATCAGCATTTAGGCATATACAAGTATAATTAACACCCAAGAGTAATGGTATATATGAAATTGTATTAAATAAATGATTACCGGTATTAAAAACTCACAAAACGTTATTCCATTTCAATGTTTTACTGATTTGGCAAAGTTTTAAAAACAGATTATGTCATTTCGCTGCTTTAAATACAAGAAGCATATTTATTAATGATAATATAAAACAGGTAATGAAACATTTGCAAAGTCATTAGCCTACATGACATTCCTCAATACACTGACAGGAAACAGCGATACCAGTTACTATTATAGCAGGGTTTTTTTTTCCCAATATAAGAGGAGAGGAAAGAGACTGAAGAAACAGAAATACAAGAGAAGGTTTGGTCACTTTCCAGAAAGAGAGAGAACAGATTAGTAAAGTAGTAAAGAAGAGAGACAGAAATAAAGAGACATAATAAAATTGGCACATTCATATTAAGTCAGGGTGTGCAGTAGTTAATAGGGTTGCTACACCAAAAGGAGAGGAGGAAAACAGGGACCATGCAGAGTTCAGGCTGTCATCAGTGGTTACAACCACAGGAAAGATGGCTGCCAGGTGACAGTAAAGCACTGATACATCCAACTGTTTTTTTTTATCTCAAACAGCTTCTCCCTCTTGTCACTGTTTTTGGCAACATGGACGATTCTTCTCCTTTACCAGAAGAGTTTTATTCCAGATAAAGTAGCTTTTTTTGAAAGAGGAAATGTACATTTTCTGCTAATTCTTCTCAGATAATTCTGAATTCATGCCGACGTGTCCGACGCACCATCACAGATGTAACGTCAGTCCTCAAACATAATTCATTCATCCAAGAAAAGGTCCATCTGTTCTCTGTCCAGTGACAGTTCTTGAGGCATTACACAGGAGAAGAAGAAGAAGAAAGGGGAAGGCAGGGTTGTAATTTGACATTCAGGCACACTGCAACACTGTAAAAGGTCAGAGGTCAGACGTAGTGCATTCATGCGGTGTCCATCCACCTCAGAGAAACTCGGATGCACAGAAACACACATGCTCACATGTGCAAGCAAAGGAGCACCTTAAATGCAAGCGCGCGCGCACACGCACACACACACACACGCACACAGACACACACACGCACGCACGCACGCACACACACACACACTCAATCTCAGACAATTGTCAGGAGAATAAAAACAAAGGAGAACCAAAGATTTTTTTAGTCACCAGTGGTCTTTGTCTGTCTTCCTCTCCTCTCCTTGTTGGTTCATGTTAACATTACCAAAGTTAAAGTAACTTTGCAGTTATAGTAGCTTCATATCAGTAGCGTTTTCAGTGACACTGCAGTGGTACAGTCGCTGCGGCAGTCCTGCCAGGAGGGCATGAAAACACAGGTTCCACCCCCCTCTGTTCGTTACACCCTCCTTTCGTGCAGGTTAAGTGCAAAAATCTTCATCCTCAACAACAACAATCTTGTCATTTTTCCTTCATCTTTGTCAGTGCCTGCGCTAATGCTGCCCGACGAAGCATTGGCATCATAGACAGATCCAAGATAAGTTTTCAGCAGGAGAATTCACTCTGCTCAGAATCAGCGGCGGGTTTTAAGAGCAGTCATAAGGGCTTGTCGATCATAGTCACACCTGTGGGAAGGAAAAATGGAAAAAGATGAGGATACTTACTCAGTATCAACACACATGATACCATTTCCAAACAAAGCATGTTTTATATAAATGTAAAAAAAATAAGAATAGTTGTATGAGTCAGACACATATGTTTAACATCTTTCCTCCAGCAGTGGATATGATTGATTTCATTTGTTGTGTGTATTTTTCTGTTTTTTTTTTTTTTTGCCAGATTTGACTTCTGGATTTGTTGTTGAATTTGTGGTCAGTGGATTTACTTTATGTGTTTATGTTTAAGTCTGCCTCCATGATTCATAACATGTAAAATATATGCCATGTGATCCTATGTCCTGGAAACAAACATATATGAGTGAAATACACAATTTATACTTTTACTATGAACTGATTCTACAAAATGTTGATTAAAAATCCTAGTATTGAGCTACAGCTGAAGCTGGAATTCAATCTCTTTGTCACAGACGTTTATATTCAAATTGTCAGTTTAGTAGTAAAGTTGTTAGCATGTTAGCTCATCTGTTGCCTTCACACCTGCATAACTGCGTCCCGTGCTCATACAGGTGGGCAGTAGCGTCCACTTATCCGAGTTTGGATTGTAGAACTCCACAGAGGCTAAATTACAGCTGCCGTCATCTCCTCCCACCACATAGAGAATGTTATTTACAGCACACACACCTACAACACACACATACACAGAATGAATATTCATGGCACTCTTACATGGTAACGCTTGAGGTCTATTCTACAGACGGTCTGCATTACCTGCGTTGCGTCGACACATGTTCATGTCAGCTACCTGTCTCCAGCTGTTAGAGGCCGGATCATAAACTTCACAACTTTTTCTCACCAGCGGCCCATCGTGACCCCCCACAGCATATAGTAAACCTTTTAGCACACCTACACCTAAGGGAGACAAAAACAGTGTTTTACAAGATCCTGGACCAGATCTCTGGAAGGATAAATCTGTGACGATGAAATGTCTTATTAGGTTTTTTTTAAAGATTTTAGAAATGAAAAACACACAGACCTGCTCCACTGCGTCTCGTGCCCATCTCTGCAATGTAGCTCCAAGTGTTACTTTTCGGGTTGTAAGCTTCTACTGTGCTCAGACATTGCCTGGTTGCACCATCATAGCCTCCTACTGCATACAGGATCCCTGAAAACACACACAAGAAAAGCATACAGTTCATAGCCAAGAAAAAGGCACAACCTTGTCTTCAAATGTAGTGATTTGAAACAACATACTCAGTATAAGGGTCTTAGTTGTATTTTATACTTTAACTTAGGTTGTGGTTTATACAGTGATATCTGTATTTGTTAGACAGTTTGTCCGTTTTCTATCCTTTCCTCTTGAGCATCTTTTACAAAATTCTCATTTGAAAAAAATAAGATATTCAATAAAGTCTGCTGCTTGAAAAAGTTAACAGACACTTCGCCTTTTATAGTCACCACAACACCAAACACGGGATACACAGGGTTTTAACCAATGTCTTTACAAATTGTTGCTTTAACACCTGCAATAATAATAGTGTCTTAATAAAAAAAAAGGCATGTACTTTGCAAAAATTGTATTTACTGCTGAACGTGCGCACGCTTCATTATTTTATTTTTTTTAACTATTTCTAAATGTTGACAGGAAAACTGAACTGAAAATGTATTCACCGTTAACAACCCCCACTCCTACACTGCTCCGTCTGGTACTCATGGGTAACACATGGAACCACTCGTCTGTTTTAGCGTTGTATGCTTCCACTGTCGACAGACCTGCAAACACACACAGAACATGCATCAAAACATTATTAACATCAACATATACATACAGCACATATTCCTTGTTGTTATAAAACCATGAAGGGGTTCAGTGTCTAATAAAATAATTTGAACGTCACTCAAACAGAACTGCACCTGTGCTGCCGTCAAAGCCTCCCACAGCGTACAGGAGCCCGTTGAGCACAGCGGCCCCTAGTGTTGATCTGCGGTCTTGCATGCTGCTCACGCTCGTCCAGCGATCCATCATTGGGTCGTAACAGTCGACTGTCCGTACACGCAGAGAACCGTTGAAACCACCAACAGCGTAAACGCAGCCGCCTACGTACACGACACCTAAAAGGCAACACAACAGAAAACGCACGGGTGAAAAAAATATACAAAACATCATTCTATTACCCTGCATCAATGAGAAATACTGCTTTCTTTCTCCTCCTATTTTTGAGATTTTTTTAATTTTTGGGGCGTTTTAGGCCTTTATTGGAGGGATAGGACGGTGGATAGAATTGGAAATCAGGGGGAGAGAGTGGGGAACTGACAAGAGCCACAGGTCGGATTCGGGCCGTCCACTTTAAGAACTACAGCCTCCATACATGGGGCGAGCGGACTAACCACTGCACCACCAGCGCCCCAGCACCTATCTTTGACTCCATTATATTTTGTGCTCCTGAATTTAGGCAAAAAAAGAGTCTAACTCTACTCCACCAACTCATGAAATCTAAAACTACGACGTCACATCAGGTGTTTGTGTAAATGTTTGATGATAAGTCATTGAAAAGAACATGACACGACTTGGACCAATGGAAAACCTCAGTAGAATACCTGAACTCTAATATTAATCTTCACCAGTAAATTAGATTTGTAACCCGTCACAGATTTATTTAAGTGGATACAGTATGATATATAGTAACCTAGGGTGTTGTAAAGATTACTGGTTCAGTGATATCAACACTTAATCTGCTGTGTGAGGACGAGGTCCAGGTGATAAACTTAATTTTAAGTTTATGAAGGTCAACCCAAGAGCACCATTAGTTCAG